TCCTTTCTCTCCCTCTCTCTCCCCACGTTCCCTTTGAGTTCCCTTCCCTTCTCCAGGTCTCCCACAGGCTGTGATGCTCAGCCACAGTGAAATTGTAGCTGAACTGCTACTTCTTCTTGACCCATTGGACCTGAGGTGTAGAATGAGAAGTCTGCAAAAGGGTGCCTAGTGTTTGTCTCACAAGAAAAACAACACTTCATAACCCCATTTCCCACTTCTCCCTTCACACCCCCAAATCCAGTTTGTGTTAAAAACTGGAATATCAGGCCCATCCACGTGGCCATGACAATGAAGATGATGACTTTTTTTTCATATCTGTGATTAGGAATTTCTTCTGGGTTCCGAATCCTCTCTGATTCTAGTTGGAGGAAATTGTATTAGAATGGGACCAGTAATTTTCTATTATTATTATTATTATTATTATTATTATTATTATTATTTGCAGTGGTGGGGCTGATGTACAGGATGCTGCCAGGGAATAGAAATGGAACAAAGGAGAGAATAAAAATTTTAATACTATAAATATAAATAAAGAAAAATGTACTTTATAAATGGACCTTTAACTTTTATTTTTTTTTTTAATTGATTTCACAGAGGAAGGGAGAGGGAGAAAGAAATATCAGTGATGAGGGGAGAATCATTGATCAGCTGCTTCCTGCATACCCCATACTGGGAATTGAGCCCACAATCTGGGCATGTGCCCTGACCTTCTGGTTCATAGATTGACACTCAACCACTGAGCCATACTGGCTGGGCTAAAAATTAAATGCATCTTTCATTCCCAGAGATCAAGTATCAGTAGGTTTATGTTAGTTTGAGTTATTACTCTTACTAATAAGTGATTAGTAATAAGAGGGGTCGGTCTGGGGTAGGTAGAATTGACTAAATTAGCACATAGGTGAGCTCAATGTTAAAGTCGGTTTTCCCCCATCACAGAATGAAGTTCTTTCCCTCTTTCACACCATTGTCCCAATGATGAGTTCAAGAACAAACGAGTGAGACCTTGCAGTAGCTCCAGGGGACTCGTTTGGGTGCCTCTGAAACAGCTCAGCAACAACAGGCTGTGCTGGGAACTTTGTTTTGTTAATTGCACCTTTAGAAAAGAGATAAGCAGTCTCTATTTTTTTTTTTTTAATTGCTATTACCTTTAAGCCAGGAAAAGTAAGTAAGTGTAGATGATCTTGGTGTCATCAGTGAGTTATGTCACACTTTATCCTAACAGAAGAAATCAATTTAACAAGTGTCTCCTTGTCAGGACAAAATGAGAAATAACGAGTTTGCTTGACTTTTCTCTTTATGCTGGTTAGCTCTCTTGATTATTGCTAGGTATTCTATATTTAATACACATAGAACGTTTGCAAGAATGTGTCTTTGATGTTATAGTGACTGTGAGAAAAATTCTTACTGGCAATTTGGCTCTGCTTAGTGAATATATTTTTGTTCATTTCATATTGAATATTTCCCTCCTCTCCACTTTTTTCCCTACGCAATGGTAGAATTAAATTAAATTTTAATTTTAACCTAAAGTATTATATTTAGTCCTAAAGGTGTTTACTCTTACCTATTTACAGATTTAGTGAACTTTACCACATTTTCTTTTTTAAGTTGAGTCATAGGACAAAATCAAGATCATCTTCTAAACTCATACTATAAATTGTTAGAAAGGTTATTTTTTTTTTTACTGGCATAATTATAGTAAAGAAGACTTCTAGCCAGTTATTTTATAATTTGATGTACAATAAAACTATGGGAGAAGTATATTTTTAAAAATGAAGATGGTCTGGTTGGCATGGCTCAGTGGTTGAACATCGACCTATGAACCAGGAGATCACAATTTAATTCCCCATCAGGGCACATGCTTGGGTTGTGAGCTCAATCCCTAATGGGAGGGGCAACCAATCAATGATTCCCTCTTATCATTGATGCTTCTATCTCCCCCACTCTCTTCCTCTCTGAAATAAATAAAAATCCATAAAAATAAAATAAAATAATGAAAATGATTTTGGTACTGAAGGTGTCCACTTCTCTGAATCAAACAAATAATTACATGCTGTTTGATTACAATTTTATGGGACTGTTGATACTGTTGTTAGGAATCCATTACAAAAGAATTGCACAGGGGTTGGAGTGGGGAGCAGCAAAAAAAAAAAAAAAAAAAGAGTTGTACACTTATTGGTGTACTTCCTTCACATGTCCTTTCTTTTTTTTTAAAAAAATATATTTTTCTAATTGATTTTTTTTTTTTTTTACAGAGAGAAAGGGAGATAGAGAATTAGAAATATTGATGAGAGAGATAAATCATTCACCTGCCTCCTCCACCTGCCTCCTCCACACCCCCCACTGGGAATATGCCCACAACCGAGGTACATGCCCTTGACCAGAATCGAACCCAGGACCCTTCAGTCCGTAGACCGACAGTCTATCTACTGAGCCGATTTCAGCAACATGTCCTTTCTTAAAGAGAAATATGCCAAATAAGCTTTAAAGGCAGTTAAAAACGGGAAGTTAGTAGCACAACCTTTATTAAGTTTATTTATTTTTTTAAATATATTTTATTGATTTTTCACAGAAAGGAAAGGAGAGGGATAGATAGTTAGAAACATCGATGAGAGAGAATCATCCACTAGCTGCCTCCTGCACACCCCCTACTTGGGATGTGGCCACAACCAATGTACATGCCCTTGACCGGAATCGAACCCAGGACCTTTTGGTCCACAGACCGACGCCTATCCACTGAGCCAAACCGGTTTCGGCCTTTATTAAGTTTAAATGGTCTGGCATGGTGAAACTTCATGGAAAGACAACAGCTTTTTTTCCCCCTTTGATTTTGACCATCGCTTTCCTCTATGAGGAAATATGTGAGGGGTGAGGCTGACTCAGTTGTCTTAAGAAGTATGTTTCTGCAGTTAGTCCTTTCACCTACAATTTGGAAACCATTAGGTTCATGTTTTCAAAAGTCTGTTAATAAGAAGGCACATTTTGTCTCTTGACAGGAAAAGGACTGTTCCTGACATCCTCTCTGACTTTTCTGGTAGGATTTTGGCTTTAAGACTTCTGAGCTCATGGCAATATCACTTAATAAAGTTATATTTCCAGGCCTCTCCTTCTCTGGTGCTGGACTCACTTATAGTTTGGGTGTTGCCACTGTCCTATCCTCCGTCACATTGTCTAAAATTGGAGGAGGAAACCATGGTCTTTCTGGTGTTCTCCGTAAGTGTTCACTTTGCTGTGAAATAATGAGCCTGATGCTGAAACCGGTTTGGCTCAGTGGTAGAGCGTCGGTCTGCGGACTGAAAGGTCCCAGGTTCGATTCCGGTCAAGGGCATGTACCTGGGTTGTGGGCACAGCCCCAGTAGGGGGTGTGCAAGAGGCAGCTGGTCGATGTTTCTCTCTCATCGACGTTTCTAGCTCTCTATCTCTCTCCCTTCCTCTTCTCTGTAAAATATCAATAAAATATATTAAAAAAAAAAAAAAAGAATGGATCTGTTAAAAGAAATAATAATAATTATAATGAGTGTGATGTCTGACTATAGTTGTAGACTTGTCAGGTTTCCTGATGCACACTGGGTGGGGAACAGGTTGTGTGGCTCACTGGCAGGCTTCAGCTACGAAATATCTTCCCAGATAAAATGAGGGAAATCATTTACCTGTCGACTTACTTCTGGCCATACCATACCAGTGGCAAAGGATGTAGCTAGAAAAGGCCTATAGAAGTAGGTTTTGATGTGGCTGTGGGTCAGTTTTCCCTTTGATTATTCTTTTCACATCACCTGGTTTCCTTTAGGTCTTTTGTAATACCTTCTGGACTGTGAGCCTTCAGTGAATTCCTCAACTGCCTTGTCTTTGTTCAGTTTTAGGTAGAAGTGGGAGGTGAGTCAAAGTGGAGTCTGAGTGTCCCGTGTGCCTTTGTCTCTGCAGCAATGCAGTGGATTGAGGGAAAGACACCAGGGGTAAACATGTGTGAGACATATACAGTCTCACACACAGACATGCATGGGCATCAGAAAGTAAAATACCACAAAATCGTTCTGTCTGTTGGGAGTGAAGGTGACAACACTGTAGGGAATGGTTTTGGAATAAAAATAAGACTTAGAAATCGCTTCTTAGTATTTGTGCTCCGTGTTCTCATGAATTTCGTGATCTGAGATTACAGCAAATAAATGGCTTTAATCTTTCACTAAGTGAAAATATATGCACTGAATCTTTTTGCCTTTGCTTCCCTTCCAGTGTCAACGAGTATACCAAGAGAAGAAGAAAAAAGTGAAACTCAGACTCGTTTCCTTCTCCACGTGGATGATAGCTATAGCAAGGGAAATTCTCTTAGTTTATCAATTGGGGCAGAAATGGAGGTAATTGGCAGTGGGCTGGGGTTTCTTCTGTCCATTTTCTGGGGTATAGGTATTTTTCCTATTTGTGTTTTTTAAGAAGCAGTGTTTCTTATATTGATTTGAAATTTGGTCATAATTTTGATAGGGTTGGTGCCTCAAATGTCTTATAAAATTGGGGCCCATTGAAATCACTGGCTTGTGGCAGCGGAGTTAAGTGAAACCTGATGGTTCTCCATTATCATGTCTACAACATCCCTGTTGTAATAAATCAGGTTATTGGGAAGGTGCTGGTCAAATGGCAGCGCCCTGGGCTTCCTAATGATTGGTTCAGCCTTTGTCACTCTGCCTAATGAAAGGTTAGTATTGGCAAAGAGACCTGCCGCGGGTGGCTTTGGGAGTTGTGTTAGTGGCATACACTGTGAAAGAAAGTAAGGTTATTCTTTGATATGACAACACTTCATTAAGATGAAAACTTATGTCGTTATGGGTGTGAGTGTCAGCTTGAACTGAAGACAGAGGATCTTAGCTATTTGGGCCTGACTTAAGTTGTGGTAGCCATGGCCAGTGCCACCTGGCTCTGACAGAAGCCTCAATTTCCCAATGATCATATCAGCAATTTCCGATTTTCAGTTTCATGGCAGAGGCTTCTTAGAAGCTTAAACCCTTGTCCCAATGACGTCAAGTTCGCCCATTGGCTTGGAAGGTTCAGACCTGTCTTCCGTCAACACCATGATGTCAGCAGTAATGAGTGTAGGGAAGGTTGCGGAGAATGGCGGGAGCCCCCAGAGCATCAAGTCCCCCATGAAGCCACCAGGACCAAACCGGATTGGCCGAAGGAACCAGGTAAGCTGCAGTGGGCGATGTGGTGACATCTGGCGGCTTCCATCTCTGAGAACGTGGGGGGAGGATGTTCCCTTGAGCTCAGCTTGCTCAGATAAGATCGTGGGTGTATTGAGATATAAGTAGGCATACCCAGAGGTTGTAATCATTTTTCAAGTGCAAACTTTTCATAGCTTATTTCCATTTTCTTTCATGGAGAAAATTTTCTATGCTGTGATGTCAATATTGGTAAAGTTGTCCTGATTCTCTGCCCTGTAATTAGATTTGATTGCCAGATTTCTTCATTTGCTGGCCAAGGTAAAGAATTTAGTCCTCTGCTGTGATGCTGTTCCTTTCTTTACCCAGCTGGTTTCCAAAGCCACCTGCTTAATTACTTTTTTAAGTGTCTTCAGATTACGGAGCAAATAAGAACTGGTTGTCCTGGGGCTGCTATCCAGCTTCCCATCCTTGACAAAGCACAGAATTTGGCTCCAGAGAATTCCACATAAGAGGAAATTTAAACCTTCTGAACTTGCAGTGAGCATGGGATCAGGAGAAGAGGGAAAGAGTAAATGAGTGGGCAGGGATTGGGAGGATTAATGATGCAAAGTCCAGTCACCTGCACTGGGAAATGAGATGGATCTTTTAATTGACATAAGAGGGGGCACTTGCAAAGTGGTTGCTATCCTGTTAGCAGCATGTTCTACAAAGCTCAAGGAGAGAGGTAGAGAGTAAACAGTTCTCATTTCTTCTCTGAATCTATATGATGTGAACCTACCCCTCCCCATTGAGTTTTTGGTTTATTGGATTTAATAGGATTATATCAAACCCTCAGGGAGCAGGAAGTCTTAAGTTTATCTAGATACCAGAAATGGAGATGAAAATAATTTTGCAGGGAATCTTTAAATTAAAATTTTTTTATTAACAATCCTACAGTGACAGTTATTATACAGAATTGTCTGAGTGCATCTATGATGGTTTTCTATCAATTCTTAAAAGTAAAACATTAATGAAGGCTTTCAATATAACTTTCCCTCCAGTAACAGTTGTGCCAGCCTAGAATCCCTCCAGCAGCGTGGGAGTCTGTTTTCTCCACACCTTTCGCAAAGCTGAGCACTTGGCACAATTAAACAGTGTTTCAGGGTTGGAGCATTGATACCTTTTTCTCTCTTTTTTCCCCTGTCTCTGCGTGCCTCTCTTCCTATGGGTCCTTGAGAAAATACTCAGCCTGCATGACTGCGGCCTGAGTCAAGAAGGAGTGCTAGCTCTGGGAAGAAAAGGTTTATTTTCACTCTCACATGACTGTCTGTCCATCCATCTGTTCGTTCGTCTCTCCATCCCTACACTCGTTTCATGGTATATGCCAGCTCCTAATTCCAGCCAGGTACTACACCATGATGCCAGGCATTTCGGGATGAATGAGGTTGATAAGGCCACTGTCTTCCTTCGCTGTCTACAGGGGAAAGTGGTAGGTAGGAGAGGGATCACCTCCTTTTTAAAGAGCCGGCATGCCCTGCTCAGGCAGAGTTGGCACAAGTGCAGGCTCCAGTCCTTCCCCAGTGGTTCAGAGACCATAGGGAGAGCCGTAGGAGGGGGGACACAGCTCTTTAGTCCCTGGGTGGTGATTGGGAGTGACCGTGTAAGGGTGGTGCAGGAAATGGGACAGGTGTGCGCCTCGGCTATTTTTCATCTACCTCCTATGCCTCCAGGGTTCCTTGGGTTCTTTGGGGCACTGGCTCAGTTTTTGAAGGGGAGGTCTGGGCCAGAGGTGAAAAGGGAAAGACAGTGCACCGGGAGAAAAACAAACAGAATGCAGTGGGGAGAGAGAACGCTTCATCCTCACCTGGTAGTGGCGGGGAGGGCTGCGAGGGAGCCTGAGAGGAGTCCCATGGGCGATAGCACCAAGTCCCAGGGCAGATTAGCCCCAGCTAGACACTGGCATGGATGCCAGAGCGTTTTGCTATGGAATGGTTAGTTGTCACATTCGCTGCTAATTTTATCTGTCAGCTCAGCAAGTGTGCTCTTTCCACGGTGTGGCGCAATAACCGGGTTCAGAATTCTCCGGTGGGGCTTCTTCCAGCATCATGATGCTGCCTTTTCTATTGAAAACTAAATCCGAGCTCACAGCCTTCCTCTCTCAGAGCACCGTGGATTTTGTGGGCTGGAGTCACAGGCTGCAGCATGCCCCTGCCAGGCTCAGAGCACGTTTGGCCCGAGTTCATGATAAGCCCCAGAAGCAGTGCCAGGTAGCCCCATGAGCTGCTGCTCCCTCAAGGTGAATGAAAGGTGATTTCTTTTTTTCATTTGCCTCCTCAAGGAGCTGATCTCTTGGAGACGTGGCTATTTAATATGTATTTACATCCTAATGATAATCTTCCTCTAAAAGACGTTTAATATATTTTATTGCTAATCTAATAATTCATCGAAAAGACTCAAGACTGGGTTTTGGCCTGGCTGTGAGGCATTTCTCATTATGATTGCAAGTGCTCATATTTTGTTATTGCTACTTTTGTTTTTGGTTTTTCCGTTTGGTGGTTCTTGGCCAGCTCCATTTTGAGAGCAGTAGCACTGGGCTGAGAAGGTAGGACACCCACCCCTGTGAGGAGTGCAAGTCCCTGGACTGGCAGGCTTTTTACTATCTCTGGGTTAATCACTTTCCTTGGAATTGATAGCTGTAATTTTTTTTTTTTAATTTGAGAGTGAAAAATATATAACATACCGAGGTCTCAGACCCAGTGCCACAGACTAGAAAAGGTGACTTATCCACAGGTGCTGCTTTCCAAGACTCCAGTGGATGCCTGAAACTGTAGGTGGTGCCAAGCCCCATATATACTATGCCTTTCCCTCTACATATAAATCTTTTTGTATGTAAGGAAGCACTTTTGGCTTCTCTTTGGCACATTCGATTGCCAGCATCACTACTCTTGCATTGTGGGTCCATCTCTAAGTAAAATAAGGGCAACCTGAACACAAGCACTACAATATTCAACAGTCAATTGGATACCCAAGACAGCCAGTTAGTGACAGTGTATGCAGCACGGGGATGCTGGACAAAGAGATGATGCAGGTCCCAGCGGAGGGCAGGATGGCATGAGATTTCGTCATACCACTCAACGGCAGGAAATTTAAACACATGGATGGTCTGTTTTGGAAATTTTCCGTTTAATATTTTTGGACCGTGGTTGACCATGGGTACCTAAAAACCATGAAAAGCGAAACTGCAGATAAGGGGGGACTACTGTGTTACTTAAAACAAAGCCTGCTAGTCTTCGAAGAGAGAGAGAGAGAGAGAGAGAGAGAACCACTGAAGGCAGTTATGCAGTAGACATCATGCATGCACTCCACCTGTCTGGTTTATGGTGCATTTGTTTTTATAGTCTTTAGGGTGGCTTATATTTTCATCATCTCTCATAAGCCAGCCTCAATGGTGTTTCTTTTCTGTGCCTTGGAGCTCATCTTTTTTTTTTTGGGGGGGGGGGGTCAGGTTTAGGGCATGGGCTGTCGAGCAGCTGGCCTGAGTTTTATTTCTGGATCTATGTAATAGTTCATTGATTTGGGGCAGGTTACTTGCCTCTATACCTCAGTTTCCTCATTCAGAAAATAGAGTACATAATAGTAGCTATTTTCTTTAGTGGTGGGAAAACAAACAAACAACAAAAAAAAACCCCTGATATTTTTATATGTACAGAGTTTAGCATATAGGAAGTGTTCAATAATTAGTGTTATTTGTGAGGAATAGAAACTGATTCAAATGAGCACAAGGAAAAAAAGATCTATTGAAAATGCCCAAGGATCCAGCCCTCTTTCACAGGCTGCTTGGTCTCCCAGTCCATTAGCACAGACGTCTTCCCAGCTGCATGTCGTTGCTGGGGCTCGCCATGCTGCAGGGTCTGGCCCCAGCCCTGCATACACTTTCAATTCAAGTGCTGCCGATCACCTAACTTAGTAACTTAGTCAATCCCACATCTGGGCATATAACCAACATCTCCTGGGAGCCTGTGAAACAGATTCCTGGAGTTCAGCTCCCATTATCCCAGTGATTCTGACTCAGTCTGTCGTGAGTCTGATCTAGCAATCTCAGAAAGCTCCCCAGCCGTTCTGCTGATCTTTGGAAACCCATGGATCGTAGTCTCTAAGCATCTCAATTCCACATTCCTGAGAGTGGCATCCAGGCCTTGATCCCGTTAGTTTTGGGGATGAGGACAGACCTGGGGTGCTCAGGGAGTGTGTGGTGAGGAGGCTGTGATAGGCACGTCCATGACAAAGCTCTGGGAATTATTTTGAAGGGAGATGTGTAGGTAGTAAAGGAGCTTGTCATTTTCCTTAAAAAGGTAAAATATATTGCTTCAAGGAAGCTTGTCCTGTCTTGTGTGTTTTGAGGGAACATGAATGAGCTGCTTGTCCAAGTAGTGAGCTTATTCTTTTGCCGCCTCTGTGGGAGTCCTCATTTTGGATCTTTAGTCACTATCACAGCATTCTCATTCTTATTTACTATTTATGAGCGGTGTCAAGCAGGTGTTAGCAGGGAGTAAAAGGGCCAAGTTGATGCCAGTTGGGCACACAGCTGGGCCCGGAGGCCTTCCACCATTAGGAGGTGGGTTTTTGTCATGAGAACTTCATTACCTCTCATGAGTCCTTGGGAGCCCCCAGAACAGGTGGGAAAGAGTGGCTGGAGCCTTGGTCAGACTTAGGGAGAAATGTACTTCTTTTCTAGCTCTGCCGAGACTTAATGCTTAATTTTTCGCCACCACTGATGATTAATTAAATGGTATATGTCTAATAAGAATACTAATATTTATTGAGCACTTACCCTGTGCCAGACACTAGTTCAGTATTTTATGTGTGTCAGCTTAACTAATACTCATCACGATGTGATGTGGTAGATACTGTTACTTTCCCATTTTACAAATGAGGAAACTGAGGGCCAACAGGACCGTGACTTGTCCAAGCGCATACCAGACAGGCTCCAGAGCCCATCCTCTTAGCTGTGTCATTGCTACGGCTCATGAGACACAGGTGCTCATGGCAGACAGAAGAGGCACCAGTTTACTGTGAGGTGCAGTTGATTCTCCTTTTTATTATGTCTTTTCAGGAAATGAAAGAAGAGAAGTCTTCCTACAACTGTCCCCTGTGTGAGAAGATTTGCACTACACAGCACCAGTTAACTATGCACATTCGCCAGGTTTGCTGCTGCTTTCATATTTGTTTTAAATCATTCTTCATTAAGAGAGGACCAGGTGATTTAGTATGAGTGTATGAATTGTGACTGAGTTTAATTTCTGTTTAATATTTCAGTTATTTTGCAAGGTAGTTTTGAAATAATTTGTGTGTGTGTTATTGTGACAAAGTCCCCAGTCAACATAGAATTCCTTTTCAGAATTTAGCAAATACTGAGTTCACTGACCACATGTAGCAGAAGACTGCATGGAATGTGGCTCCTCAGCATGAACCAGACCCCTTACAGATTAGGAAATTGTAGGAGTACACCCTGCTTTTTATATATATTGTTCCAACCTATGTCTTGCAGCAGGGCATTGACTTGGTTTGGGATCTCATTTGGTTTTTCCTCTTTATTATGAGAGTTTTCCTTCTCCCTCGTCTGCTATAACTGGGTCATGACAAAGTACTGATGACTCTAGTGACATTATTAAAATTAAAGCGTGGTACTAAATAATATCATCATTTACTAATTTGGGTTTGGATGGAAATGTTCCCTCTTAACATATTTCAGAGGCCAGACCTCTCTCAACTGTGCAGATTTCAGTTCCGTGGCAGCAAGACTGAGTCATTAGACTTGAAAAACGGACACTGACAATGTGAGGACCACAGTTCACCTGTTTGCTGTAGAGCTGACAGTCTTCCTGTTCGTGTTATTGTGGTCAGTTCATTCAGTGTATCTCCAAGAAAGACCTTCAAAGATTCCATCTCTCTCTGAGCCTTGCAGAAGTATTTTTCAAAATCAAAACATGGAAATAGAAGATCATACAGAATATTTATTTGCCTGTGTTGCTGATCAGTCTTGACATTCAGGAAGATATTTAAAATGTAACAGGAAAAAAAAAATAGCTGAGAAGCTTTACAAAGCCCTGAATTTGCATTACTGAGTTTTGACCCATCTTAAGTGACCACTGTGGTGATTGCTTTCTACAGCACAACACAGACACCGGCGGGGCAGACCATTCGTGCAGCATCTGCGGGAAGTCCCTGAGCTCGGCCAGCTCCCTGGACCGCCACATGCTGGTGCACTCTGGCGAGAGGCCTTACAAGTGCACTGTGTGTGGCCAGTCTTTCACCACCAATGGGAACATGCACAGGTGGGTGAGGGCCACCATGGCCTGGTGGCCTCTTAGCCATCATCAGAGAGATGACTTGCCAAAAACATTAAGAGTTCTGAATGCTGTTCACTGTGTGGAAAAGCTAGAGATGGTTTTTGCTTGTGCATGCTGTGTGCGGAGCATTAGAGGTGGCTCATCGTGGGAAACAGAAGTACCTGGGCTAGGTCTTTGGCCCTTTGGGGATTAGGGTGAAACAGAGTCCTTCCCCTTTGCCAATTGCAGTTTCTTTGTTCAGATGCCAGAGGTGGGCAGCTTATCAGATACAGAGGAACCCTCAAGGAATAGCACAGTAACCTTTGCCTTTTTAAAACTAGTTGCATATGCATTGTAGGTTTCCTGCAGGTGTTTTTCTTACGAAAAATTTCTGGGACCTTTGAATAAATAGTTAAGTTGCCCGGTCCTGGAGCTTTCGAGTAAGAGAGGATAAAAGAAGAAACAGAAAATCTGATAAATGTCAGGAATTTGCTTCTGACGGAGAGAGAGGCTCACTCAGAAATGGGAGGTAGCTCAGTGGTAGGCATATTGAAATTCTGTGGTGTAAGCCAATGGGAAATATACTTTATAGAATTATTACATGTGTTTTGAAGGGTTAGAATAGATTTCTTGTTGTTAATCCTCACCCGAAGATATTTTTTCCACTGAGTTTTAGATAGTGAAAGGGAAGGTAAGACGGAGAAGGTGGAGAGAGAGAGGGGGTGGAGGGGGAGGAACTTTGATGTGAGAGAGACATATGATGGGTTGCCTCCCAAAAGCACCCAAGATGAGGCCAGAGATTGAACCTGGGGCCCATGCTCTTAACCACTGAGCAGCACCAGCTAGGCAGAACAGACTTTTTAAATGTTTTTGTTTTAGCACAAACATTTTAGGAACATTATAATTCTAGGAAGTTTTTTTTTGAAGGGATTCAAAATTTTACTTTCTCAGAAAATCAGGCTATTTTTATTTTTCTGTATTTTCTTCTAGGCTTTCTTTTTTGGGGGTGGGGTGGGGTGGGGGTTAAGCCTCACCTGAGGATATTTTTTTATTGATTTTTAGAGAGTGGAAGGGAGAGGGGGAGAGAGAAACATCATCGAGGTGAGAGATGCACATCAATTGGTTGCCTCCCACATGTGCCCCAGCCAGGGCCAGGGATGGAGCCTGCAACTGAGGTATGTGCCCATCACTGAAATTGAACTCGGGATCCTTCAGTCTGAAGACTAACCCTCTATACATTGAGCCAAACCAGCAAGGACATACTGATTTTTTTTTAAAAAATCAATCTTTATTGTTCATATTATTACAAAGGTTCCTCATTTCTTCCCCCCTCCACCAGGTTCCCACCCCACCCTCCGCCCCCTCCCCATCCCCATTGTCCTCATCCATAGGTGCAGTTTATGTTCAGTCTCTTCCTCCCTCACTTTCCCCAATAGTAAATCCCTTTTCAGATAGTATATCAGTTACTTAGCATTTTCTCATATCAATAATACCTCCACATGCCCAAGGATACACTTCACACAAAAGACATTTCCAAATAGGTCAACTAGCCTGATCCAGGCCCCACCCAAGGCACTCACAGGTCAACACCCCAGCCCTATACTAACTCAACACATCCAGATCTAAGCCTTCATCACATGATTCAGCAGACCCTCAAGTTCCCGCAAAAGTTTCCAGCCATGTCTGAGAGGCAGCCGTGGGGCAGGGGCAGGCGAGGAGCGAGCTGTTCCGGGCCTGGCTGCTCCGGGCCTGGCCTCTGTTGCTCTGGTTCGTTCCACAACCAGCTGCTCCGGGTCTGGTCACTGCAGCTCCCGAACTAGTTGCTCTGGACTTGGCTGCTGCTGCTTCGGGCCCGACCGCTCCGGGCCTGGCCGCTCCCAGCCTGGCAGCCGCTGCTCCGGGCCTGGCCGCACCAGACCCGGCTGCTCTGGGCCTGGCCGCTCCCAGCCTGGCAGCTGCTGCCCCAGGCCCGGCCATTTCCGGCCTGGATGCTCTGGGCTTGGCTACTGCTGTTCTGGGTCTGGCTGCTCCCACCCCGGCTGCTCTGGGCCCGGCTTCTCCGGGCCCGGCCACTCCGGGTCTGGGTGTTTCTGGACTGGCCACCCTGGGCTTGGCCGCCTCCGCCTCAGGCTGGCTGCCACTGCCCCAGGTCTGGCTGCTCCAGTGCTGGCTGTTGATGCTCTGGTTCTGGCTGCTGCTGCTCTGGGGCCTGGCCGTTGCTGCTCCAGGCCTGGCTGCCACTGCCTTGAGCCTGGCCACTCTAGGCCTGGCCGCCGCTGTTCCAACGTTCTGTCCTTTTTTTTTTTTTTTTTTTTTAAACGCATTTATGTTGCAATGTTGGCTGGTGAGTTGAGTTCTGACTTAGCCTTTGATTTTTCAAGATCTTCTTTGTATTCTTTCTTAAGTAATTTTACTATCTTTTGCTCTCACTTGATTTCTTCATATTGAGAACTTCTTTGGTTTCTTCCTCCTTGTCCTGGGAGCTCAGCAGGTTGGCCTGTGGCACCCCTTTGTTCTCCACGGGGTCCTGCGCTGCTTCAGCCTGTTGCTGGGGTCTGCGCCGCCCAGGAAGCAACCCCCGGCCTTGGCTTCGTTGCCCGCGCTCAGCGGTCGAAGGCTCAGGGGCACCCCCTCTCCCCCCGGGGGCCCTGTTGCCCGGCTAGCCGGTGTCCTGCAGGGGCTCCTGCTCCTCGTCGCGTTCCTCCAGTCTGGAGCTTTTTTTCTCCTTCCCGCTAGGGGAGTCTAGCATCAGAGTCAACAGACTGTCCTCTGCGCGCAGTGTGCGCGACTCTGGGAGCTCCGCTTTTTGCCGCTGGGATTCCGCCTCACAGCCCCGCTCCCCCTGCCTGAGCCTGGGTCCCCAGGGTCTGACCTAGGACTGGGGTTCAGAGCAGTCGAAACTGGGGCCCAACACGGCCGGGGCTCCTATTTCCTTCCCTCCAGGGCAATCCCGCATCAGAGTCAACATTCCTTTCCTTGCAAGCAATGAGCGCAACTCCGGGGGCTTGGCCTTTCGCCGCTCTTCCAGGACTCCACCTCACAGCCCTGTCTCCCTCTTCTTGAGCTTGGGTCCCCAGGGATTGGCCTAGAACTGGGGTTCGGAGCAGTCCGGACTGAGGCTCAGTGACGCCAGAGGCTTTGTTTCTTCCCGCTAGGTTAATCTAGCATCAGAGTCAACATTCAGTCCTCTGCGTGCGATGTGCGCGCGACTCCGGGGCCCTGCTTTTCGCTGCTCCCCTGGGATTCCGCCTCACAGCCCCGCCTCCCCCTGCCGGATCCTGGGTCCCCAGGGTCTGGCCCATAACTGAGGCTCAGCGCTGCCGGTTCGGGGGTTCAGCCCAGGCTGGGGGTTTTATTTCCTTCCTGCTAGGGAACGCCAGGCAGCACCCCGCCCTCTCCTCCTCTCCGGCTGCAACCTCTCCGCGCGTGTGTGCGTGCGGGCGGGCGCGCAGCATGTCTCCGTACCTTAGGCTTTTTTTTAGCTCCTCTGATTTTCCTTCTGGTTTTCTCTTTCCTTCTTGTTGTAGAATTTTCAGTCAGTCAACTACCTGTAGCTCTGGGCAATGTCCACTCTACATTTTAGTAGTATTCCATTGAAATTGTTGTGTGCTGCTGCGGTTAGATGTCTACCCGAGCAGCCATCTTGGATCCTCTTTCCTGCTTTCTTTTTAAAAGTTGATCAACATCTTGTTTTTCATAATTATTTCAAAAGAAAGCTTTGTATGATTGTTGTGAAATTGATGTTTTATTATATATAAATACTAATATGAGAGGGTCCCATTAATTCCACCTAAAATCATTTCATGAACCACTGATGGTGGTATACTTGGGACATACAAGCATAATGGTAAATTTCTGGATTTTGAAATTAGGCACCTGATTTCAAATTTCAACTCTGCCACTTAAGCCTTTCTTGAGCAACTTATTTAACCTATATACCTCAGTTATCTTCTCTTTAACACAAAGTTTTAATATTATCCATGTCATTTTGTACTAAGATGAGGACTAGGAAATAAAGAGTTCAGCGCATGTCTGTTTTTGCATTTCTAAGTAATACCACAATAATTTAAAGCCTAGGAATTTCTCAGTCTGCACTAGAAGTTAGAATCTAGTTTAACTCTGAAAGTTATCAATATTTTAAAGAATTTTTACAAAGTGTTTTACTTTTCCCCCCCCTATACAAAGTTCAGTTTTCTCTCTTTGCTCCTCCTCTTCTCATAGAACTTTTGGGTATAAAGAAGGAAGTGAATACTGTTGCTATTTTAAAATATATATTACCTTTTAGCTTTTTGCTTTTTTGTCTCCATATCAGCCTGTTTGGTATGACATGCCTTCTTTTTGCCGTTTAGTTTTGTTTTGCCTGCAGCTCCTACCTCAGACCTCCCAAAAAGGTCTCCCTCATACCTTCGCCCTCTTAAAATCTGGGCCTAGAGGTGGCGTTACCTGTCCCTTCTGGGCAGTTCCCCACTTCCTCCTACTGAACCTCCTGCTCAGGGCGACCCCATCTCTAATTTGGCAGTGGGCACTGGGCGCATTCCGTCCTCCTGGCTGCGTTAGCCTGACTCCTTATTGCTTATGACACTCCATGAGCCATCTCTGGTCTTAGGCCCAATCACACCTAATTCAAAAAATTTCTATTTTGAGACAATAACTGTGATTGAATATGACACATGTTAAATACGCCTATAGAAAGGCATACTTCCTGCCTTTTATAGTGATGTCTCTGACATTGCATTTTGTAATTAATTCTAACTGAATTTATAGTGCACTGTGCATCTAGCAGTGGACTAAATAATTTCTATTTATTTGTTTACATCTTTATGATATATAATTTATGTACTATTCATTACATTTTACCCACCTAACGTATGCAATTCAATGGGTTTAGTATATTCACAGAATTCATGCAGACATCACTATAATCAATTTAAAAAAAAATACACTTTATTGATTTTTTTACAGAAAGGAAGGGAGAGGGACAGGAGCTAGAAACATCAATAAGAGAG